AGAGAGGTAGGAGGGTAACCAGCAGAGTGAGGCATCCTGGAAGCCAAGTGCCAAAAAGCCTTCGAGGAGGAGGAAGTGATTGGCTGCGTCAAATGCTACAGATGGATCAGATAAGATGAGGACTGAGATTTGCCCACTGGGTTAGCAAAGTGGTGGTCATTGATGACCTTGATGAGAGGCTTGTTTCAAAAGACAAGTGAGGGTGACTGAAGTGGATTCAACAGAGAATGATGGAGAAGAGAATTGTAGCTATGAGCAAGGACAACTCTTTCATGGAGTTTTGCTATAAAGTGGAGCAGAGAAACAGGCCCATGGGAGACATGGAGTTGAGGTGGGGTTAAGGATGGGAGAAATAACTGCATATTTGTGCACTGAAGAGAAGGATGCACAAGCAGGAATACTGATGAGGGAGAACTTCTGTGGTAATGCCCTTGAATCAATGGGAGGCTGGCCTTTGTGATCATGGGCAGGGTTTGGCTGTCGGTAGGATCTTGGAGTGTTCTTCCAGGGGAACAGAAAGGAAGGCAGAGGCTATGGGAGCAGAGGCAAATAGGTGGTGTAGATGCCCAGGGAGTTTGTGGAAATTCTGTTGTCTTTCATCTCTTTTCTCTGGGAACCAGGAAGTTCACATCATGAGTTGAGAATGAGGATGGGGTGGGTGGTAATGGAGTTTTGACTGAAAGGGAGAAAGTGTGAAACAGTCATCTGGGGCTTGGGAAGAGGAATAGTCTTGGGAGGTATGGTATGACTCCTGGGCAACAGTGAGGGGCCCCTGAGTTAGTGGTTATCCATTCAAAGCCAGACCAGTGTGCAAGGTTGTGAGTTATCCTTCATCTCATTTACTGTGTGGGGGCAAGTGTAGAGCAGGGAGATAATGGGATACAGACTAAACTGTGGTTTGTTCAAGTGATGGCAAGAGAGGGGCAAGGGAGTTAAGGATGGATGCCAGGAGGTGATTACAATGGGAGCCATGAAATATGTTTTTATAAAAGGCTTATTGAAGGGTAATTGACATCCAATGAACAATTCACATTTAAAGTGTACAATCTGAAAAATTTTGACATATGTATTCTCCCATAAAACTGTCAATGATCATATTCATCACTTTAAAAGTGATTCCAAACCAGGTTTGTTCTGCCTGTGCACAGTAAGCCAATAACTGGGACAACAGGTTTTGCAAAAGAGAAAAGATTTTCCTCACAAGTCTGCTAAGCGAGGAGACAGGAGAACAAATCTCAAATCCATCTCCCTAGAAGTAGGACTTGGGGATATTCATGGGATAGAAAGTAGGGTAGTCTAAAGTGTGGTGAAATGTGATTGGTGGGTAGAAAGGGTGAGGTAATCAGGGTTTACAGAAGCAAAATCAGGCCACATGACTATTCACAGGATATATGTTCAGAGAATGGCAGTGTTAGCATGATCTGAGGTTGGGGTTTTTGGCCCTCTGATGTCAAAGGTCAATCTTTTGGCACCCCTGCAAGCCTTGCAAGCTGAGTCGAGGGGTCAGTGGTTTGGACTGGACAGGGGCTGCCCCTGAAAAACAACTCGAGTAACCATTGCCATGGTGATCCATGCCTCAGAGATGTTATCTGTAAGGAAGCTAGTGAGAGTTTAGTATATTGTTTGGCTACGTGACTTTTAGCTATATAGTTTAGGATCTACCAGAAGTAAGTGATTAGATGCAAACAAGGCAGGTTAAGTCTGGAGGGCTTAAATCAGGTGAGCCCTTGTTTTCCAAAGTTTCTTCACTCTTTGTAATTCTTTCCTGTCATCCCCCAGCCCCATTCCCCAACTCCATCTCCAGGCAATCACTACTTTCTATCACTATATTCTGCATTTATTGGAGTTTCATATATATATTTGTTTTTGAGAAGGGATTTCACTCTGTCACCCTGACTGGAGTGCAGTGATGTGATCTTGGCTTACTGTAGCCTCAATCTCCCTGGCTCAAGTTATCCTCCCACCACAGCCTCCCGAGTAACTGGGACTGCTGGTTATGGAAGATCCATGCCACTATGCTTGGCTAACTAAACATTTTTTTTTTTTTCCCTAGAGACGGAGTCTCTCTATGTTGCTCAGGCTGGTCTTGAATTCCTGGGCTCAAGCTGTCCTCCTTCCTTGGCCTCCCAAAGTTGCTGGGATTATAGGCATAAGCCACAATGCCTAGCCATATATTCTTCTTTTTCTGGTTTCTTTCATGTTTAGATTCACTCATGTAGCATGTATCTGTGGTTCATTTCTCTTTATTGCTGAGTAGTAAGAAACTACATTTTTTTCATTCATTCACCTGTGAATGTGCATTTGGGTTGTTTTCAGTTGGGGCTATAAAACTGATGTGAACACATACATTGGTCTTTGTATGGACATGTGCTTTCTTTCCTCTTGTGTGAGTACCTAGGAGTGGAATGTGTGGATCATCCAGTAACAGTACCTTTATAAAAGCCATTGGAACACAGAGGGTTGATGACTGGGAGGGTCCAGCTGTGTCCAAACCGCCCTCCCCTCATGGCTACCCTTTCCACCACATACAGCACACCCGAGGAATGAGTCTGCTCCTCTCCCCTAATTACTGACATTTAACCACCCCCTAGCCCTGCCGCTAATCTTTTGTGACCCTCCTAACTTGATTGGGTGAAAGACTCAGTGGATGAAGCACTAATGAGAATCTTTACAGGCAGCTGACTTCCTTTCTAAGGGTCCTCCCAGCTCTGATTCAGGGCTGTCTTTGGGAGCTTCTAGCTCTGTGCCTTCTGCTTGCCTTCTTGGTGGCTTTGATCCTCTCTTTCCCTCCTCATGCATTCTACTCCTGGTATTTGCACATCACATTTAGTCAAGAGTGGGAAATTGTGATCATATGAAGCAAATAACTAATGCTGAGTGCCCAGTGGGTGAAACTAAAATCAGACAGTATTGAAATCAAATGGAACTACGTAGATGACAGGTGGACACAACTTACTGAGCCCTGAAAATCCCAAGACAAGAAGGGCCCAGGGAAAGAGGTTGGGCTGTCTCTCCCCACGTCTCAGTGCCCCTGCTGGCCTTCTGACCCTAACTGGTATTAAAGGATAATTTGCAAAAAAGGTGAAATCATGATTCTGTAGCAGATATAAAAGGAACATCCATTAAACACTTTATTTTTCTCATTATTTATAAGAGGGAAACTGTAAAATGTTACAACCAGCTCAAAGGAGAATCCAAAGGACAGACATTGAGAGACTAGGAATATTGAATACATTTGAAAATGAAGCAGCTGGGCACAGTGGCTCACGCCTGTAATCCCAGCACTTCGGGAGGCCGAGGTGGGCGGATCACCTGAGGTCAGGAGTTCGAGACAAGCCTGGCCAAGTAGAGAAACCCTGTCTCTACTAAAAACGCAAAAATTAGCTGGGTGTGGTGGCAAGCGCCTGTAATCCCAGCTGCTTGGGAGGCTGAGGCAGGAAAATCGCTTGAACCCGGGAGGCGGAGGTTGCAGTGAGCTGAGACTGTACCACTGCACTCCAGCCTGGGTGACAGAGCAAAACTCTGTCTCAAAAAAAAAAAAAAAGGGAACAAATTGGTGTTTTTGGGGGTGGGAGAGGGTTGTCCCTCCACTGGGTAAAATTTATGTGTGTTTATGGATAAGAATTATTTGTATGGCTTTTCATTTTCTACAAGTTAACTTTACTTTCTACAGAGTTATAAAATAGCTTAGTCAAAGTCAAAGGTACATTCCTATAGAATTGGAGAATCCCCTGGAGGCTCCAGTATTCTAGGAAAAGGCTATCCAGCTGTGTTTTGCTTCTTTCAAAGTCTGAAATTTCTCCTTACACTTGACAGTGCCTGGTGGTCCAGACCGGGACTTCCCGCATGCCCAGTCCTGGAAGATGGTCTTGTCCCAGGGGCAGTAAACCTTCAGACCCCTCCTAACCACTCCAATGGCAGGCTTGCCTGTGCCCCACAGTGCCACCCTACAGCCTGACTGAGACTCTGAACCACCCTTCCTTCAGATAACAGCAGAGAGTTTTCACACTAGGACTATTCCTTGACCATGGGGCTTATCTCACACTTATTTAGTGTATACACTGCCTTGGGCCATGTGGAGACCAAGTCTGCATCTGCAGCTTGTTTCTAAAGTAGCGCCCAGAAGACCTGAATCCTGACTGCCACCAGGTTCCCAGTTGGGCTGAGTAGGGTCTGGAATGCTTTTCTGAGTGTGGAATGCATCTAAGCCCCTATCAAATGTGGGCTACCTTATTTTGAGTCAGACAACATCTGTGTTTGATGGTTTTGAAGGAAAACCACAAAACTGTTTTGCATCACATAGAATATGTTAAAGGTCTCAAACAGAAAACAAATTCCTAAATGAAGAAAGGCCCACCAGGTGCAGAGCCCTGTTCTGACAGCTGTGTGGGCATCTGAAGGGCTGTGAGACATGCCAGCTGTCATCATGGAGCTTAGCATCCAACTGGGGGATAAGTTATGGATGTGGAAAGCTCTAAAAGATAGGTCAGAAAATTAGCAACACATGGGTGGTGAGGTTTGGTGTGGATGCTGAGTCCTCAGCCAGCTCCAGTGTCTGAGTGGACCTCAGGTCCATCTACTGGAGGAAATTCCCCAAGGTGACTGATAGTGACATTCCAAAGTCAAGTGTTTTATACACTGGAGTTCCTCTGCATTTCTATTCAAATACCCTTGAAAGATAGGTGAATCCCTGTGGCCCTGCACTTTTTTAAAACTTAGGTTGGCGTGATATAATTTCAAAGGAAATGATAACTAAACGCATAGCCAGAAATTCCATCTAACCCATCTTCTCTACTTTTTAAGTTAAAGTTACTAATAATTCACAAAAGGGTTTAGGGTTTCCCCTGCACCCCCACAGCAGGGAGGAAAGAGGAAGGGAGTGCTTACATAGGCCTGTGAATGACAAGGAGAGCACCAATGCCCAGGTGGCTGGCTCACTTCTCTAGGCAGAGATGGCCAGTCCCCAGGAGAGTAACCGTGACCCCTGCTACCTGTTTTAGGATAAAGGAGGAGTGGAACTTTGTGGCCGAATGCAGGAGGAAGGGCATCCCCCAGGCTGTGTACTGCAAGAATGGCTTCATAGACACCAGCGTGCGGCTTCTGGACAAGATTGAAAGGAATGCTCTCACAAGGCAGAGTTCACTTCCTAAGGACAGAGGCAAACGGAGCAGTGCGTTTGTGTTCGAACTTTCTGGGGAGCACTGGACGGTGAGTCGAGGCAGTTCTCGCCCAATGCAGTGCTGTGGTTGATGACTGCTGCTTGCCTGACCCCAAGGATGAATGAATGAATGCTTTTGCCTTTAGAGGCGGTTCTTCTGTCCCTTCCTCAGGGAAACGCAGCGCAGTCCTGGAAGCAGTGATGGGACCCACTTGGATACCTCTGTGGCTGAGCAGCTGGGATGCCTGTGCCCGCTCCTGGACAGCACAATCTTTCAGGATGCATTCGTCTCCTGTCCCCTGCCCCAGTCTCTTAACATAATTCTTTGCCTTTAAAAAACATTAATTTAAGTGACGGCGCCTTTCATTCATCTAACACCCTGGCAGTGGGCAATTACTTACTTGCCAAAGTGCCGTAGGGCAGCAAAAGAATTCTGCAGATCCTTTTTCTGGTTTTCCTGTCCTGAGATTCTGAGGCCAGGGCAAAGACAATTCCATCTTTCTTTCCTCAGGCCCCATAATAACTAGGGCTATTGCCCATTTCATTGGGACAGGGTTCCCTGGGACCCTCCCTCCATCTCTTTCTATCCTGCCATTTTGTGTCTTTTTTTGTTGTTGTTGTTCAAGAGTCTTGCTCTGTCACCCAGGCTGGAGTACAGTGGCGAGATCTCAGTTTCCCGAGTAGCTGGGACTACAGGTACACACCACCACGCCTGGCTAATTTTTGTATTTTTAGTAGAGACGGGATTTCACCATGTTGGCCAGGCTGGTCTCGAACTCCTGACCTCAGGTGATCTGCCTGCCTCGGCCTCCCAAAGTGCTGGGATTACAGGCAAGAGTCACTTTGCCTGGGCTTTGTTATTTTTTTTCTAGAGGAGGGGTTTTGCCAGGTTGCCCAGGCTGGTCTTGAATTCCTGAGCTTGAGCCTATTACCCTGCCATTTTGGGACTAAAAGGACTCGGTAGAGAGACTAAATATTTGGCATGACCTGGGGCTGTCTTTTATTAGCCATGTGATCCGAGGTGGTTTTTATCATTTGATAAAAATGCGTATCACTTTTATGGGTTTTTATCATTCTTCTCAGTAAAATGCTGCTAATGCTTGACCTGACCCTATCTGAGGGCTATTGAGAGGATGAAGTGCATGAATATTCTGTGAAGTATACAGTTCTCCAAAAATGCAAGAGGTTATTGCTGTAAACCTCTTTGCTGTTCTTTCCCTTGCATCCCCGTCATTGAGATCAGTAGGTAATGGGCTGCCTACTCCGAGGCACGAAGGGAGGCATGTCTGGGTTGTTAATTAAATATTGTTGGCCGGTAAACATGATCCTGAGTAAGCCACTTACCCTGTAAGGGTGTCCAGTTCACTGGAGAACCTGCCATGAGCCCTCATGTTTCACAATCTATCTTTTGAAAATCATTGTAAAGTGTATTTATTTATTTATTTATTAATTATTATTATTATTTCGAGATGGAGTCTCTCTCTGTCCCCCAGGCTGGAGTGCAGTGGCGTGATCTTGGCTCACGGCAAGCTCCGCCTCCCGGGGTTCACACCATTCACTTGCCTCAGCCTCCCAAGTAGCTGGGACCATAGGCACCCGCCACCACATCTGGCTAAATTTTTGTATTTTTAGTAGGGACGGAGTTTCACTGTGTGAACCAGGATGGTCTCACTCTCCTGACCTCGTGATCCGCCCGCCTCGGCCTCCCAAAGTGCTGGGATTACAGGCATGAGCCACTGCGTCCGGCCTGTAAAGTGTGTTTAATGTGCCCGGTATGGTAAGGGGAATGGGAAGATAGTTAGGATTCAGCAGGCTTGGAGAGACCCCCATTGTGAACCAGGTGGATGGCATCCTCCCCATACTCCATCCCCTAAGCTGTACTCTGTTTTTTTTTGTTTGTTTTTTTTGTTTTTTTTTTTTTTTGAGACGGAGTCTTGCTCTGTAGCCCGGGCTGGAGTGCAGTGGCCGGATCTCAGCTCACTGCAAGCTCCGCCTCCCGGGTTTACGCCATTCTCCTGCCTCAGCCTCCGCAGTAGCTGGGACTACAGGCGCCCGCCACCTCGCCCGGCTAATGTTTTGTATTTTTAGTAGAGACGGGGTTTCACTGTGTTAGCCAGGATGGTCTCGATCTGCTGACCTCGTGATCCGCCCGTCTTGGCCTCCCAAAGTGCTGGGATTACAGGCTTGAGCCACCGCGCCCGGCAGCTGTACTCTGTTGTGACTGAGTACAGGAGAGTCCAGGAAGACTCTGGGCCCCACATATTCATTAGAGTGAATTTCAGTTACCGGTTTCCTCCCCCAGAGAGCTTGTGCTTTGGCCTCACCTCTGACTAAGGAGTGAAAGGCTGTGTGTGTTAAGGGATTTTGCAACCTCTTAGAGTGCTCTGTGGCAGTGAGGGAGTTGTGGCCTCTAAAGTCACACCTGGCAGCCTGCCTGGCCCCTGCAAGAGGTCAGGAGGGAAGGAATGGGCCGTGGAGCTTCTGGGGCCTTAGGGACTAGGTAGAGAGAGATCTGCTAGGGCCCTTAGGGCTGGCTGAGGCTGTGTGGCCAGGTTGGGCTGGGGGCTGGGGCTCCTGTTTTGAGCCAGCAGCTCTCAGACCCCGGACCCTGCTCTTTTAGGGGAGATCCTCCATTTTATTTTCCAACCCTTCAGTAGAATTTTTCATTTTTACTACCACATGTTTAATTTCCCAGAGCTGTTTGCTGTTTGTTTTTTCAAATGGATGAATTCTGTGAAGTGGCTTTATTTTTCCACTTTTACAGATATCTCTTAATCTTAGCTTTTACAATGTTGTTCTGTTTTTATTTTGCAGGGTAATGGCTTTTCTGCTTTTCTTAGCTATCTTGGGATCAATCTTTTTTTTTTTTTTTTTTCCTTTTCCTTTTTTTTTTTTTTTTTTTTGTTTGTTTTTTGAGACAGAGCCTTGCTTAGTCACTCCATCTGGAGTGCAGTGGCATGAGCATGGCTCACTGTAGCCTCTGTCTCCTGAACTCAAACGATCCTTCCACCTTAGCCTTCTCTGTAGCTGGAACCAACAGGTGCATGCCACCACACTCAGCTAATTTAAATTTTTTATTTTAAAGATGGAGTCTCACTTTGTTGTCCAGGCTGGTCTTAAACTCCGGGGCTCAAGTGATTGTCTTGCCTTAGCCTCCCAAAGTGCTGGATAGTTTTTTTGTGGGGGTGGGGATGTTTTCTTGTTTCAGAGTTTCCTTTTTCTTTTAGGGTGTGTGTCTTTTTTTTTTTTGAGATGGAGTCTCACTCTGTCGCCCAGGCTGGAGTGCAGTGGCGCGATCTCGGCTCACTGCAAGCTCTGCCTCCTGGGTTCACGCCATTCTCCTGCCTCAGCCTCCCAAGTACCTGGGACTACAGGCGCCCGCCACCTCGCCTGGCTAATTTTTTGTATTTTTAGTAGAGATGGGGTTTCACCGTGTTAGCCAGGACGGTCTCAATCTCCTGACCTCGTGATCCGCCCACTTCAGCTTCCCAAAGTGCTGGGATTACGAGCCTGAGCCACTGTGCCCGGCCAGGGTGTGTGTCTTTATCTTGCATGTTGGGACTGTTCTTGGAGGTCTGGAGACACTGGGTTGTCCAGAGCACTAACAAGCTGACCAGAAACTCTGAGTGTGTGTCGGGCACGCTTCGCTTTTGAAGACGTTGCTGTAAAGTCCCCATCTCACTGGTGCCTCCGCTCTCCTATTCATGATTATTCATGAATGTTCATGAATGCACATTTGTGATTTGTCTGGAGCTATGAGAGTATACAGAGAAGGATCTTCTCAGTTCCTGGGACAGACAGAATCTCAGCATTCGTCACTCATCATCTGATTGCCACCTTCCCTGCCTCAGCTGTGCCTGAGGTACCCCAGTTCAGGGACTTTGTTGAACCTCCTCCAGTGAATAAGCCTCACTGTAATTGCCAGGTGGCATGGATGGGAGTCAGGGTTCTGGTCCTCAGACTTTGAACCTGATCTCTTTCTTTGGGCCCTGACTTCAGCTCTCACTTCCAGGGATACCAGGCTCTTCTACTACCAAGTCTCTGGTGGCTTCTGGTGAGAAGCCCCGGTTGTATCTCAGTTGTTTCTACTGCTGGTCTAAGATTGAGCAGCTCTGGGAAGCCAGGTTACCATCTTCTAGCTGTCTGGTTATCCACATTTCACAGCTGATGTCTCCTTTCCTTTTCTCTTTGCCCTTCTACAAGGTTTATGGTACCTAAAAAGTTCCTGTACTGTTGTCTTTAATGGAATTTTGGAGGAGAGCAAAAGTATATGCATACATTCAATCTGTCATTTTTACTCGATTCTTTTCATTTCTATTTAACATGATATCCTAATATTTTTCTTTCTTTCTTTCTTTCTTTTTTTCATTTGAGATGGAGTCTCACTCTGTCGCCCAGGCTGGAGTGCAGTGGTGTCTTCTCGGCTCACTTCAAGCTCCGCCTCCTGGGTTCACGCCATTCTCCTGCCTCAGCCTCCGCAGTAGCTGGGACTACAGGCGCCTGCCAGCATGCCCGGCTAATTTTTTGTATTTTTAGTAGAGACGGAGTTTCACTGTGTTAGCCAGGATGGTCTCGATCTCCTGACCTCGTTATCCACTAGCCTCAGCCTCCCAAAGTGCTGGGATTACAGGCGTGAGCCACCGCGCCCGGCCTATCTTAATATCTTTCTTGTTAAAAATAGTCATGAACATAATTTTAGAAATGTAATAATCTTTCATGTGTGCCATAATTGAAAGAGTGGAATGAGATAGGTTATTTATGAGGGAGTTAGCACGTTGAAGTTTCAATGAAGAGACTGTGATTATGAGCCTGTGGTCAGCTCCCTGATGACCCAGCTCATTTGGTCTCAGTTCCAGGAGGCAACCCTCTGACATAGTGTGGGTTCCATTCAGATCAAGTGGTGTCGGGACAGTTTGCCAGGGCCACATGAAGGGGGCAGGTGGTACCTAGGTAGTTGGCTGCAGAAGCAGTGGCACAGGGCCCTATGCTTGGTTTAATGCTGTGTGCTCACCATCTTGAACTTCTTAATTTTTAACAAGGTGCCCGCACTAGGCTCTGCAAATTCAGTAGTGGATCCTTACTGTAAGTGATTCACTTAAATGTCTTTGGGGTTTCAGCTTTCCTTTTCCAAAGGGGCTCACTTTGCCTATCAAATTTTTTTTTTTTTAAGATGGAGTCTCACTGTGTTGCCCAGGCTGGAGTGCAGTGGTGCTATTTTGGCTCACTGCAACCTTCTCCTCCTGGGTTCAAGCGATTCTTCTGCCTCAACCTCCCAAGTAGCTGGGATTACAAGTGCATGCCACCACACCCAGCTAATTTTTGTATTTTTAGTAGAGATAGGGTTTCACCATGTTGGCCAGGCTGGTCTCGAACTCTTGACTGCAGGTGATTCACCCGCCTCGGCCTCCCAAAGTGCTGGGATTACAGGCGTGAGCCACCATGCCCAGCCCACTTTGCCTATCTTATGGTACTGTTGCATGAGACAGTGCTAGAGTGAAAGCACTTTTGCAAGTTAACAGCTTAACCCACACACAGGATGGCAGTGGTTGTAAAGCACATTACAAGTACCAAGTACAAAAAGGAAGGATGGCTATGGACTCCATTACTCCCTCCACCTCCCCTTTAGCTGCCATGGAGTTTTCTACACCTCATCCCACCTCCACCCTGTGCTCCAGCCACTTTGCTGATGGTGCATTGTGGCCAGCTTCTGAGGTCAGGGGACCTGTGTGTCTCGTCTTTGCCCCACCCCTCAGTGCTGAGCACCCCTCGCCTGCAATGAGGGCTCGGTAACTCTCTGTGAATTAGATTTCTTCAGCTGGACAAATAGCCTCCCTAACGTCTTTAAACACTTCTTGCTTGACACCGTTACAGTTTTATCCCAGAACACTTGAGCTAGGGGAGGCCTTGGACACTGAGTTCATCAATGTCATTTCAGCAGTGGAGGCCCAGGGAGGTGTCGCGACTGGAAAATGGCAGGGCCTGGGCCGAAACTCAGGTGTCCCAGCTGACTGTTTCTCATGCTCTTTCCCTTTCATAGACTCTTAAGAATATTTGGAAATGTGGTGCAGCAAATATTAGAGGTTTATCAAGTATTTCTAAAAGCAACTACAGAGAAAGGGAAACGAAGCACAAATTTTGAAATCGAATGTATAGACAGAACTTAGGGGATGTTAAATTGGTATGTTGCAAATAAATAATACATATTGTGGCTCCAAATGTGAGTCTGGTTGTTTGTGTTCACTAGGATTTAATTTTAATAGCATCATGAATTCATGGCAGTTTTGAAATAGGGCTAATATACTGTTGTGAAGTTGACGGCAACTGCGGTATCTTTGGTTTCTTTCTGAAATGGCCGGAGTGCTGGTGGTTACGCTTCATGCTCTCATGTCTGCTTTCTCTTTCCCTGTTTTAAAATAAATGCTTGGTTTTACACGGCTTTGTGCACATGGAGGAGCTAGTTCTTATTGATATCATTCTTTCTATTTTAGGAGCTCCCAGATTCATTGAAGGAGCAGACACACCTGAAAGAATGGCACATAAGCAATACCCTGATTCAAATCATTCCTACATATATTGAGTTATTTCAAGCGATGAGAATTCTGGATCTGCCAAAAAACCAAATCTCACATCTTCCAGCAGAAATCGGTATGTCAACTTAGCAGGAGTCTTCCGGCCTCTGGTGTGTTAAGTAGGCAGCTGTCGGGCAGGTAACAGACACTGTGCAGACACCGTGTTTCCTCTCTAGCTGCCCCAGAAAGTGGCTGGGCAGGGCTGTTTCGAGGCTCCCCAGAGCTGCTTGTTTGCAGCATCCCTTTGGGCGGTGAGGTCGGCATCTCGCCTGTATAACTCAGCACATAGGACACTTGCCAATTGCTCAGAAACCAGAAGTTTCATGAGTGAGCAATACTTTGTGTAGGAACTCTGTGTTTATTTTCTTTTAGTTTTAAACCTATAAACATGCAATATGCTTATTATAAATGTATTATTCCTGTATATTACTCCATTGATAAATCTAGTTTAGCTTATGATGTGTCTTTTTTTTTTTTTTCTTGAGACAGAGTTTCGCTCTTGTTGCCCAGGCTGCAGTGCAATGGCACAATCTTGGCTCACTGCAACCTCTGCCTCCCTGGTTCAAGCAATTCTTCTGCCTCAGCCTCCCAAGCAGCTGCGATTAGAGTCATGTGCCACCATGCCCAGCTGATTTTGTATTTTTTTTTAGTAGAGAAGGGCTTTCACCATGTTAGCCAGGCTGGTCTTAAAATCCTGACCTCAGGTGATCTGCCTGCCTCGGCCTCCTAAAGTGTTGGGATTACAGGTGTGAGCCACCGTAACCAGCCTGATGTCTTTTTGATGGATCAAAATTTTACAATTCTCAGTCATTATTCTGTTATCTTAAAATGAAAATGACAGTGATCATTATTGCTTCTCTTTCTCCTGGGGTGGAAGGAGTGAAGGTCTGGGGCTGCACAGAGCTCCATTCTTACACATGTGCCCTGGGACCAGTGGTTAATCATAGTTGTGTGAAAATGTACCAAAAGCCAAGACCCTGTGGGACAGGTGACTTGTGGGGTCTCTGGTGTTCGTACACATCTTGCTGGCTGTGTCAAGACTACAAGGCTCTGATCACCCTCTTACCCAGGCCAATCCTGGGGATGTTTATGCACATAATAACCTTGAGGGATGAGGTGACACCTGCTCCCAGGCAAAGAGCAGCCTTGCTAACCACTTGCTGTAAAAGCAGTGAGTTCCCCAAGCTTGGGGTTCTCAGCTGTGATGTATCTAACTGGGCCATCTGCGTCACACTTGGTAGACTTAGCTGTAAGGGCAACTGACATCAGTATGCTGTCTTGGAACAGGAGCCTCATGTCTTCTGCCAGTATCCATGAAGCAGGAATAGGCAAAACTTATTAGCATCTAAGCAGGGTAAAATCAAGTTCTAGACCCAACAAGGACAAGTACTTCTGTTTCCTTGCCTAGTTTCTGGAAAGGTAGAAAGGACCTTAGAATTTTTATGAATGAAAAGTACCATTTTTGACATGTGAGGGGTCATTTACCTCCTTCCCCTTTATTTTGCAAATTGGAGAGACCCTCTGATGTTAGCTGACTGAATCATTATCATTTACATATTACACTAAGGAACTTCTTCAGAGCCTGGGCTAGAAGCCAGATTTCACTACTTGCAGGTCATTTTTGGGCAAGCTCATAGTATACTCAAATAACTGGATAGAGTTTCTGAGGACTGAGTTACTTTTAAAAACTCTTTTTAGGCTGGAGGCAGTGGCTCATGCCTGGAATCCCAGCACTTCAGGAGGCAAAGGCGGGCAGATCATTGAGCCTAGGAGTTTGAGACCAGCCCGGGCAACATGGTGAAATCCCATCTCTACAAAAAGTAAAAAATTAGCCAGGCATGATGGCACGTGCCTGTGGGAGGATCGCTTGAGCCCAAGAGGTTTAGGCTTCAGTGACTGGTGATGGCACCGCTGCACTCTAGCCTGGGTGACAGGGTGAGACCCTGTCTCAAAACAAACAAACAAACAAAAAAAACCCTACCCTTTTCAAGTAGAAAGGTTCTGTCCTTATACATTTGAGAAGCCACAGTGGTTGACCTAGACTCAAGGATCCTTGTTATCCTGCCAGCTGGGCTTGGGAATCCAGTGGTTGGCAGCAAGATAGATGGGGTATTAAGCATGGAGCCGTCAAAAGAGGGGGGACGTCAGAGCATCACCATGGGATGAGTCATGCTCACAGTTTTCTGACATGTCATCAGAGGTGCTCCACTTAATATGTATCTTTGTTCATCTCTTGAAATGTCTTCCTTGAAATTGTTGCCAGCCAGATGAATACCTGTTCTTTTTTAACTTCCCACACTACACCAATGTAATATTCATTCTTTCCTTGTGAGCCAGTTTGATTTCAGCAGTGGTTTTCACCTTGGCTACACTTTAGAATCCCCCAAAGAGCCTTAAAAATCTAAATGCCCAAGACCCACTACAGAACAATTCCATAGGAATCTCTGGATACAGGGCCAGGAATCAGCGTTTAACAAACTCCCTACATGATTCCCATGTGCAGCCATGGTTGAGACCACTGGTGAGGGAGTGAGGATGTGATCCTTGCAAACTTGGGGGAGGAGAAGAGATTGGTGGATGAGGGGTATCCGTGGGAGACCAATGTGGGATTGGGGCACTATACTTAATCTCTTTGCTCTTCAGTTTCTTCATCTATAAAGTGGGGATAATAGTTGTTGCTGTCATTTAGTTGTTGTGAAGATTAGATAAGGCAATAAACACCAACATATTGGGTACATACTTGTTATTCCAAGTGATTATTCAAGTGATTATTCCAAACACTCGAGTCCTATTGGAGACATGATGTCATCCCCACAGACCTCATTCATGTGCAGGGAAAACTATTCAAACATTCTAGAAATGTGTAAAATGTAAAATCAAGCCTCTCAGTAAGCACTAAGTTTCCTGGGTATTCACATTGTACATGCACTCATGCTGTTCTACAGACCTGTGTTGTAGCTGTCTATTTATAAACAGACACGTAACCATGCATGTTAAATATACTTACACACATGGGCTTACACTGTGTTCTTCAGTCTGTGCCTCACATGTTTCCCCCGACCACACCATGAAGGCGGAGGTGGACTCCAGGATCAGGCTGCCTGGGTGTTTGACTTACTGGAAGGTCACCCTGAGCAAGTCATTTACTGGTTTTCAGTTTCCTCATCTGTAAAATGGGGATAACAATAGTACCTACTTCACAGGGTTGTTATGAGGATTAAACGGATAATACATAGAAAGCATTTAGAGTAGGTGAATCCCTGGCATTCACTAACCATTATTATTATTATTACTATTATTAGCATCATCTTTATGTTAATGTTATCTTTCAGTATCAGAACATCTAAACCTTTCCCATTCTCCCCAGTAGCTGAGTGATGATTATGACACGATTTATTTCACTTGTTCCCAAAATATTTTAAAATTAAACTTAGTGAATTGAAGACTGACCTAAGATTCTGAAGACACAGATGTTATCTAACTTTGAGTAACTTGAGCACATATTTTAATTTTTTAAATCTTAGTATCCTCTTTTGTAGGATAAGGGTCAGAATGATCTTTAAAACATCTGCCACCTCTAAAATTCTCTAGTTGAATTTTTTTGTGAGTTAACCTATGGGAGGGAGGGGGACAATAAATCTCGGAGGCTTTAACGCTCTTTCTATACCAGATTTAAGTCATATATGTATTTTATCCAACGTATAATTTTCAGTCTATTTCAAGTCAATGGAATATAATTTATCTAAATACATCCATAACTTAGGCAAAAACAGACCACTCCCTTCTCACATGGCTGAGACATATATCATATCTCCACTTTGGAAATTCTTATGACATGTGAGTATCACAATTTTTCATCATTATATAGGAAATTCTTAAGAAAAGAACACCATAATAAAGAGGAAGGTGTTCTTAGAATGATTTAGGTAAGGTTGTCACCCTAATTTTCTTCTAGTACTTGCTTCTTGATACTCTTTATGTCATTAACATGGAGTATTTTGAGAAAATCCTTTTTTTTTTTTTTTTAACCAAAGGTGAGTATTGAAGGCATCTAGAATAAATCAATTTTCACATGTGGGGCAAAACGAAAAGAAATGAAAATATATTAATTCAGGGCATGTTTCTCTCCTGGAGGAGCAGATATAGCTCCTAACAAACTAGGGATAAATGAAGAAACACTCAGCTGCAGGATCTGATGCTCAAGCATAGTGAGGAACTTGGGAATGAACAAAGGATTTTTAGCTCTTTTATGTTGAGCAGCTGAATTTTGCAAAGGAGGTGGGGTTTGATCTCTTATCGTGTTGTCTTATAGATCTATTGAGGGCTGATGGAGGGGAGGAGTTAGGGAGGTGTGATTACTAGACACGGTATTCTTTTCCTGATTATTAGAGCAATTATTTTTGACATTTGACATCAAGGAATTAAGAATGACAATGAGTGGTGCTCTTAACTTCCTTGTGAAACTCCTAAGAAATTATCATTATATGGATTTAAAATAGCTAATTATTGGAATTACAGATGATCCACAATTTACAATGGTTAGATGTAAGGTTTTTCAACTTTTTGATGGTGTGAAAGCAATGTGCATTCAGTAGAAACTGTACTTTGTTCCTAGAAGAGTGCGACTGCTAGAAAGAAAGAGAAAAGAAAAGAAAAGAAAGAAAACAAAAAAGAAAATAGCAGCACTATTTACAATAGTAAAGACTTGGAACCAACCCAAATGCCCATCAGTGACAGACTGCATAAAGCAAATGTGGCACACATACACCATGGAATACTCTGCAGCCACAAAAAAGGAGTTCGTGTCCTTTGCAGGGACATGGATGAAGCTGGAAGCCATCATTCTCAGCAAACTGACACCGGAACAGAAAACCGAACACTGCATATTCTCACTCATAGTGGGAGTTGAACAATGAGAACACATGGACACAGGGAGGGAACGTCACACACCGGGCCTGTTGGGGGCTGGGGGGGAAAGGGGAGGGAGAACATTAGAACAAATACCTAATGCATGTGGGGCTTAAAACCTAGATGATGGGTTGATAGGTGCAGCCAACCACCATGGCACATGTATACTTAGGTAAGAAACCTGCACATTCTGCACATGTATCCCAGAACTTAAAGTAAAACAAACAAAGAAAAAAAATTTAAAAAAAAGAAAAGAAGGAAGGAAGAAAGGAAGGGCAAGAAAGAGAAAAAAAGAAGGAAGGAAAGAAAGAAAGAAAAAAGAAAAGAAAGAAAAAGAAAGAAAGAGAAAAGAAAGAAAAGAGAGACGGAGGGAGGGAAGCAGGAAGGAAGGAAGGAAGGAAGGAAGGAAGGAAGGAAGGAAGGAAGGAACTGTGAGTACCCATACAAACATTCTGCTTTTCATTTTCAGTGCAGCATTCAATTTATTACAGGAGATATCCAACACTTTATTATAAAACAGGCTTTATGTTGGATGATTTTGCCCAACTGTAGGCTAATGTAAGTGTTCTGAGCACATTTAAGGTAGTCTAGGTGAAGCTACAATGTTTGATAGGTTAGGTGTATTAAATGCATTTTTGACTTATGATATTTTCAACTTATGATGGGCTTATTGAGGTGTAACTCCATCGTAAGTTAGGGAGCATCTGTATTTAAACATTTTTACTCAAATATTGTAGGATATGGTAATTCCTTAAGCTGCTCCTTGGGCTCTAGAAACAAGGAGCCTCTATACAATTCACTGTGCTCCAGTTGCAATATCTTCCCCTTACTGGAAATTACGTCTGAGGGCTTGGGAGAGCAGAGAGTAGGTAGGCAGCTTTCATTTCAGTTGGAAAGATCCCTGGGCATTTCAAGAAAGAATAGACAAATCAGTTATTTAAAAATATGACACACTGAAGGCATGAGCCTTAAAAGTTTTGTTTTAGATTCTGTAATATTGGACCCTTATCACACTGAAAAACTGTGATTTCAGAACCTCGGGTTCATGATGCTACAAGATAATGTTCATCAGATACAGCCCCCCAAACCCAAATGCTAAATTATGTTTAGTTCCTTCCCCATCATTATTTACAGAGCTGTTTACTTCTTAGTTTTGTTTTTTGTTCTTAAAAGACCTTAAAGGACCTATTCAATGAATGTTAACTTTTTCTGATGACAGGTTGTTTGAAGAACCTGAAAGAACTCAATGTGAGTTTCAACCATCTGAAGAGCATTCCTCCAGAATTGGGAGATTGTGAAAATCTAGACAGACTGGATTGTTCTGGAAATCTAGAATTAATGGAGCTGCCCTTTGAAGTAAGAGATAAACATTTCTGCACTACGATTTACTTTTATTTGGTTTATGACATAGAATGGTCTATAATATGGCAAGAAGTTTTAACATATTAAATCTATCTTTATTATATCACCTTTTCCTGACATTTCAATCACCATATACTGGTCTTTAAAAACTTTTTTTTTGTTTTTGAGATGGAGTCTTGCTCTGTCACCCAGGCTGGAGTGCAGTGGTGCGATCTCGGCTCACTGCAGGTTTCGCCTCCTGGGTTCAAGCAATTCTTCTGCCTCAGCCTCCTGAGTATCTGGGACTACGGGTGCACACCACCACATCTGGCTACTTTTTGTATTTTTAATAGAGATGGGGTTTCGCTATGTTGCCCACGCTGGTCTCTAACTTCTGACCTCAAGTGATCCACCTGCCTCGGCCTCCCAGAGTGCTGGGATTATAGGCGTGAGCCACCGCACCTGTCCTTCTTTAAAAACATTTTATACTAGGTCAGAACCCGAATTTAAGTTCAGAAATGCTATCAAAGGAAAACCAGGCAAAATTTCACATAAGAAATTTTTATTTAATGCTTGTTGATGCTTGTAATATATGATGCCTGTTGTCTCTAATGCAGACCCTAATTTATTTATCCAAAATGGTAAAATTGAAAAGGGGTAAAATTTTTTATATACTCATAGCAAAACTTGTAGATGACTAAAGTAGTCCTACAGATAGGATTTAAGAAATCCACTAATTTAAAAATATTCATTAGTTTCTTTTGGTCTGTATTCATGGAAAAATAATTTTAAATCATTTCTGATAAAGTGAAGCACATAAAAGTGAACAATTTTTAATGCTAAATTAAACTCAATAAGCATCTCGTGCTGGAGCGAGAGAAGGATCTCACAATGCTACTGGTAATGAATGGGCTATAAATGGTGATTGCTGGTGACAAGACACTGGACACCGATTGCCATCCTAGAAGGGGCATTATTTGCCTTTCCTGAATGCTTCAGGGTATAGGAGGAAGTGGCTGCTTCTAAGCTGTTAGCACCCATTCTACCCTAGGAGATACCCAGCAGGTGTCCTGGTGAGGGTGCACAGCCAGGGGTCATGGCTCCCTGCACAGATCCACTCATACCCCAGTCTTTTCCAGTTCAGGCAATGGCTCAATCTCCACACAGATGTTAAGGCTGGAAGTAAATTAAGTCGTCCTTAACCTCTCTTCTTCCATGTGCCCTATCCAATCCATAAATAAATCCTGTTGAGCATGCCCTCCAGAATATATTCTGTGTAACCATTCTCATCACCTTGCCACTGCCACCCTGGTCAAGACAGTGTTGTCTGTCATCTGTACTGGGGCAACAGCCTGCCTGTTTGCTTCTCTGTCCCTTCTTCTACCTTTTCCTTCTTTATTGAAGTGTAATCTACATACCATACAACTCACCCATTACAAGTGTACAGATTCAAATTTAGGCCATTTCCATCACTCCTCCCCACTACCCCCAATTATCTCTTGCACCTTTGATATGAATCCCCATTCCCACTCCCAGGACTAGGCAACATGGGAGGTAGAGGCTGCAGTGAGCTGAGAGCTCTCCACTGCACTCCAGACTGGATGACAGAATGAAACTCCATCTCAAAAAAAAAAAAAAAAAAATCTAACTATAATTGTTGAATTGTCTCTTTGTCCTTTTAATTCCATCAGTTTTTACTTCATATATTTTGTTAGTTGCGTATACATTTATGATTCTTGCATCTTCCTGACATATGTCAGGGGAACTCCTGCTATTGACCCTTTTATTATTATGAAATGTCCTTCTTTATTCCTAACAATATTGTTTCTTAAATATAATTTGTCTGATATTAATATAGTCACTCTATCTCTCTTATAGTTATGTTTTACATGATGATATGGTGATATGGTTTGGCTGTGTCCCCACCCAAATCTCATCTTGAATTGCAGCTCCCATAATTCCCGCACGTCATGGGAAGGACCTGGTGGGAGGTAATTGAATCATGGCAGCAGGTCTTTCTTGTGCTGTCCTTATGAGAATAAGTCTCATGAGATCTGGTGGCTTTATAAATGGGAGTTCCTCTGCATAACCTCTCTTTTTGCCTGCTGCCACGTAAGACATGCCTTCGCTTCTCCTTTGTCTTCCACCACGATTGTGAGGCCTCCCCAGCCATGTGGAGCTATGAATCCATTAAACCTCTTTTCTTTATAAATTACCTGGTATTGTTTATGTCTTTATTAGCAGTGTGAGAATAAACTAATACACATGATATATATATATCTATTTCCATCTTTTTTACTTTTAACTTATTTGTATCTTTGATTCCAAGTTGTGTTTCCTATAGCCAGCATATAGTTGGATTTTTTGGTAAAACCCGACTAACAATCTGTGTCTTTTGACTCATTAGTATACCCTTTTTTTTCTTCTGTTTATTTTTAAAAACTATTTTTTTGTTTTTATTTTTGTGCATGCTTATTCTAGAGATTACAATATTCTTCTTAATTTAACACAATCTACTTCAGCATAGTAATAACTTAATTCTGGTAAAATATAAAAACTTTTGCCCCAATATAGCTCCATTACATTCATCCTTTGTATTTTTATTATCACATATTTACGTCTATATATCAAAAATAAAAAATTCAGTGTTGTAACTATTGCTTAATATTTTATATTATATATATATATTTTTTTTTTCTTTTTCCTTTTTTTGTGTGCAGTGGCATAATCTCAGCTCACTGGAACCTCCACTATCCGGGTTCAAGTGATTCTCCTGACTCAGCCTCCCAAGTAGTTGGGATTACAGTTTGCACCACCACATCTGGCTAATTTTTGTATTTTCAGTAGAGATGGGGTTTTGCCATGGTGTCCAGGCTGGTCTTGAACTTCTGGGCTCAAGCAATCTGTCCACCTCAGCCTCCCAAAATGCTAGAATTACAGGCATGAGAAACTGAGCCCAGCTTGCACTGATAATTTTTAGCAATATAAAATCCTGGAAGGCAGTTGCAGTGTATTATTTATCTTAACTTCCCTACCCATACACAGTGAATGACACATCCGAGGTGCTCCAAAATACATCCTGTATTGGTCTGCTTTGCGTATATTCATAGAAATGCCTTTGGGAAAGAAATATCAATCTTAAAATTATTGGTTGAACTTTATTCCCACTCTTATAAAAGTAATTAGAACATTTTGTTATTCATTTCTAGTTAAGTAATTTGAAGCAAGTTACATTTGTAGATATCTCAGCAAACAAGTTTTCCAGTGTCCCGATCTGTGTCCTGCGGATGTCGAATTTGCAGTGGTTGGATATCAGCAACAATAACCTGATCGACCTGCCTCAAGATATAGACAGGTAGCTACTTGCATTCTAAGGTGAGGTGTATGTATTAGTTACTAATGCTTCAAACACTGTTAACATTTAAAACATGTATAGTACATGAATGTTCTTTGGAATCAACTAATTTTCCAGAGTTTATTGTTTCCAGGAAATCAGTTTCCAAGGAAATTATAGAATCAGACAATTTCCAGTCTGCATCATACATATATGTGTTTACGTGCATTTGAACACCTCTTCATTGTCTTGATGAACTTTAATTTGCTTTAGTCTTCCATAGAATGGCACCATTAACTTTCCTTCACTCTATAGAAGTGGAAAAGTTAATTTATTAAGTATAGAATAGAAACATATCACTCTATGTTTAGAATATCAATGAGGACAAATTTTATTAGTTTCATTTATTGATTCCTTATACATAAACTTTCAAACAAAATTGATATGCTTAGCCAGGTTTTCAAATTATATTCTTTCAAATTAAAAATATACATATTTTAAAAATTTTATTTTTTGTTGAGACAGGGTCTTGCTTTGTTTCTCAGGCTGGTCTCAAACTCCTGGATGCAAGCAATCCTTCTGCCTTGGCCTCTCAAAGTTCTGGGATTGCAGGCATGAGCCACCGTGCCTGGCCCAAATTAGATTCTTGCAGCTTTTTCATGTTTTTAAAAATAAGAGTTATCATGTAAGATGCAGTCATTCACTTATAATATTATCAGACTCCTGTATGGTAAGCCTAGAGAATGGGATGGGTTTAAATTGGTAAATGAAACACAATCTCTGGCATCCTGGAATCTACAATTTTTTTTTGTTTTTTGAGACAGAGTCCTGCTAGTTGCCCAGGCGGGAGTGCAGTAGTGCAGTCATGGCTCACTGCAGCCTCGACTGCTTGGGCTCATGCAGTTCCCTCACCTCAGCCTTCCAAGTAGCTGGAGCCACAGATGTGTGGCCTGGCTAATTTTTTAAATCACGCCTGGCTAATTTTTTAAAATAATTTTTTGTGGAGACAAGGTCTTGCTATATTACCCAGGCTGGTCTTGAATTCCTGGACTCGAGTGATCCTCCTGCCTCAGCCTCCCAAAGTGCTGGGATTACAGGCATGAGCCACCATGCCTGGCCTACAATCTTTTTTATAAAGAAACACAAGCAAGCTATGGTGACACAGAGGCCAGCAGTGGCTTCAGCCTGAATGCCATCTTGTATGACTTTTCTTTATTCCTGGTACATGTGATATGTATTGATGCTTTCCAGGCTTTTGAGACTAAGAGGGGGTCTTTTGGTTTGCAACATGGGAACTTTATGAAATATTTGTGTGATAAGCCAAAGTTTTGGAAATAAATGAAAGAAAAATTCCCGGGGGGAGGCCACTGAGTTAGAATAAAATGGAAAACAGAATGAGACATGTTTGAAACATATTTTGCTCATTTACTTTTCACTCTGCAGTTGCCTTCCTGTTTTAAAGTTGGAAAATGTGATGACAGAAGGCTAATAACTGGGCTTTAAAGATATACAAGAGGAGGCTGGGCACAGTGGCTCTTGCCTGGAATCCTTGCACTTTGGGAGACCAAGGAAGGAGGATTACTTAAAGCCAGGAGTTCAAGACAAGCCTAGGCAATATAGTGAGACCCTGTCTCTCTCATTAAAAAAAAAAAAAAAAAAAGGTGTACAAAAGGAAGTACATTGCTAAAATCTGTTTATTCTCATTTTCATTCCAGTATGATTGCCTTCCCATGCCCTGTTAACCCTTGTAAATGCAGTCGACTCTCAGAAGGGACATACAGATATTTGAAGCTCCATCATGGCTTAGTGTGTATTGTGCGGTATGCTTATCCCACTGCTATAGCTGTGTCTTCAACTGGTGACTAAGTCAGTAAAAACTTACAAAAAATCATGTCACCTGGCATGACTTTAGTTATTTAAAACTTAGGCAGTGCATAGTGGCTCATGCCTGTAATCTTAACACTTTGCGAGGCCGAGGCAGGCAGACTGCTTGAGCCCAGGAGTTCAAGACCAGCCTGGGCACTATGGCAAGACCCTCTGTCTCTACAAAAAATACAAAAAATAATTAGCTGGGCATGGTGGCATGTGCTTGTAGTCAGGAGGCTGAGGTGGGAGGATCTTTTGAGCCCAGGAGGTTGAGGCTGCAGTGAGCCGAGATTATGCCACTGCACTCCAACCTGGGCAACATAGTAAGCCCCTGTCTCAAACAAACAAACAAACAAACACAAACAAAAAACACAACAAGAACAAAACTTAGAATAAGTTGGTTCTCATAAAGGTCACATGGATAAAATAAAGTAGGGACTTCCTATTAGAATTTATTTGTAATTCACATTGGTTTTCTTAGCTATGATGCCAAGTTCAGTGTTATGATTGTTTTTACCTCTTCTTAGGCTAGAAGAGCTGCAGAGCTTTCTCTTGTATAAAAACAAGTTGACCTACCTTCCCTACTCCATGCTGAACCTGAAGAAGCTCACTCTGTTAGTCGTCAGTGGGGACCATTTGGTGGAGCTCCCAACTGCCCTTTGTGACTCGTCCACACCTTTAAAGTGAGTAGCCCAGAAATCTCAGCAGACACACTCAGACACAGGTAAGGAGTGAGCAGCACTGGAGCCTGGGCAGCTGTCTCAGGACCCGGATTAGATGCCTCTCATACTCTGAGAACCTGTTCCCAACTCACAGAAGTTCTGGTAACTTTTTACAGGATTCTGGAGTTTGTGGCCTATGACACGAGGAAGAGGCATAGGGTTCAGAGGATTTCTGCACAAATCTGCATGCTGGTTGATGGTGTTGCAGGACATATGTCCAGGGTCCATGGTCTCTTGCTCAGTGCTCACATCGCTGCTGGCCTGGAGGGGTCAGCAGATGTTGAAAGGACCCTCCCTGGTTGCTTCACCCTTCTTTAGGTTTCCTTAAGTGAACCTATAAACCACCCATGACTAAGAAAAACCATCCATGCAACTGGGGTGAGATGGAAATGGAATTGAAAAGTCCTAGCTCCACCTTTCCCAGAAATGACTCCAAGGTAGCTGATGGCTCCCTGGCAGCACATCCTCCCAGAATCTGGAGCTTTGGGGTTGCCCCACTAATTCTACCTGAGACCATTTTTGTCCATTCCCAGCGGTTTGGGCCCTCCCCACATTCTTCACATGAGGCTGCTTTAGTAAGAGCCACCTTCTCTCTGTCCAGAGACCCATTAGCCTTGAACACCAGGTGGCTGTTAACACAACCACTAGCCAGAATATTTCCCCAGGACTCCTAGTTCTTCAGTGGCAAGTGCTTACTATCAGCAGAGTTCAATCTTATCTTCCTGTCCTTGCAATAAATGCATGGCAAACAAAGAGGTTTGACTGCTGCAAAGAAAGAGACCAACTTCATATGTGTATAAGCACAAGATAAACAGGGTGTAAGACATCTCATGCATGCCCTACTCTGCCCCTTCCACCAAAATAGGTCTTCCACTGTGCTTGGCTGTGTGTGGAATATTGTTTGAATAAGAAGAGGACCACTGGTGAGAGGGGTAGCAGGATTCCTCCCTAGAGCCCCTTCCACATCCAGCCCCTGGAAGCAGGCTTGGCAGCTTCATGTCTCATAGCAGTCAGGGTAAACCTGTCACCTAACTAAAGTAATTTCAAATGATATAATTGTAGGACTCAGAAATCTAAGAGAATCAGATGGAAGCTCTTTGAATCATTGAAATTTCAATAAAAAGAATAGATACAAGTTTGCAGAAAAATTTAATAGCTTACTGATTTCTTAGAAATAACCTGTAGAAGTTCAAGACCAGCCTGACCAACATGGTGAAACCCCGTCTCTACTAAAAATACAAAAAATTAGCTGGCAACAGTGATGGACACCTGTAATCCCAGCTACTCAGGAGGCTGAGGCAGGAGAATCGCTTGAAACCGGGAGGTGGACGTTGCAATGAGCTGAGATTGTGCTGCTGCACTCAGCCTGGCGACAGAGTGAGACTCCACCAAAACAAACAAACAAACAAACAAACAAACAAAAAAACAGCCTGGCGTGGTGGCATGTGCCTGTAGTCCCAGCTACCCGAGAGGCTGACGTGCAAGGGTCGCTTGAGCTTGGGAGATCGAGGCTGCAGTAAGCCATGATTGTGCACCACTGCACTGCAGCCTGGACGACAGAGCAAGACCCTATCTGAAAAAAAAAAAAAGAATTACAGCATATTTAGAAGGGGTGATCTCAAAATGATGCAATGCTGGGCAATGATTTGTAGGTGAGTTATTGGAAGAGAATAGGTAGTCCTGAAATCACTGCTAATACATGATATAGGAATTTTCATAAGCAACTGGGGAAAGTATGAATGATTTCATATGGTATGAAGAAACTGGCTAGTGATAAAGCCTGTTCTTCACTTTATAGCATAAGAATTCTTGGAGTACATAGCTATATATGCCATATATAGTTAATATCACAAATATATGGTATAAATAGCATATGGAAAGAAAACTAGACCAAGAAACAAGTCAAATAAGAAAAGAAAGTTATAAAAAGAATAAGAAATGCCATGTTAATGATGATGGCTTGATCCCTTTGAACACTTATACGCTTATCACTTAAAAGAGTCTACTAAAATGAAAGGAAAAAATGTAAAATATGAGAAATCTCAAATTTTTATGAGATACATCGAGTAGACAGAATAGCAGTCATTGATGAAAGTAAGGTGAAACAAACCAAATCCCGGAGAACAAGCCGAGGAACAAGCCAATCTGTCCTGAAGATGCTTGGTGGCCAGAAATATCGGTACGGGGAAGTGTAGACAGAAATATGGTGCTTAAAACAAGAGGAAAAATGGAAAAAGTTTTATATCAACAGGCACCCCCCAACCGCCTCCTTAATTACAATGGGCAGACCACTCTGTACCAGCAGTCCAGGCCCCAGACCAAAAGCCTGAGACGTTCTCTAAGGTACCCCTGGAGAAAAGACCCCAGAGTTTTGTGTTTGGCGATTGCCCTGGGGACCTGCTAGCTCCATGCCTGAGCGAGTGATCACCCACAGTGGGGCCAGTACCTTGGCCAGCACTGCCTACATACTCAGGGGCCAAGCCAAATTCTGCTGTCTCATTCTCAGATAGGAAGGCATTACCAAGCCTTACCAGATAGTTGTCACAAAAATGTAAATATTATTTATTGATTTTCAATTTTAGAGTCAAACTGCAGCCAAAAGAAAAGTGAGATGTGATTACACATCAGAATGTGTATAGTGTTGACCTTAACAAAGTAAAAGTACACAGTGTCTGTGATGGTGCTTTGAGATGCATAAAAAAAATGAGATGTCTGATGTGTGGATAGATGTGTGAATAGATGGGTGGATGGATAGGTGGATAGATGGGTGGACAGATGGTTGGATGGATGGTTGGATAAATGGTTGGATGGATGGGTGGATAGATGGGTGAATAGAAGGGTAGATGGATGGGTAGATGGATGGGTGGATGGATGGGTGGATAGAAGGGTAGATGGATGGGTAGATGGATGGGTGGATGGATGGGTGGATGGATGGGTAGACGGATGGGTGGATAGATGGGTGGATGGATGGGTGGATAGATGGGTGGATAGTTGGACGGATAAGTGTGTGGACAGATGGGCGGATATGTGTTAAAGCAAGTATAGTAAAACGTTAAACATGGAATCTAGAGGATTGTACGTGGGTGTTCACTATAAACTTTTTTCTACTTTTGTGAACATTTAAGAATTTTCATAATAAAATGTTTAAAAAGTAAAATGGTAAAAATTTAGAAGTGTGAAGGTTGGGAAACTGGAAAGAAGGGGAGAAATACCACCACTTGATTGAATGACATGAAAGTATTTGTCCTAAGGTAAAAGGCATTTTAAATAGATTAAGGAAAAACAGTGATAGACCAATGAAAAAATATTGCTTCTGGGATCTGAAGAGTAATTAAGGGGAGGGTGAGAGACTGTTGCTTCACAAAGAAGCACAATTACACTCTGCAGGTTTAAAAATATGTACAGTGATTACTTTGATTAAAAATTTTAAGAATGATAAAATGTAGTTATATTTCTTATTTTTGAATAGGGAAGGAAGATTAACATTAACTCAATGAAAAAATTGTAAAGGAAAAGTTGAATGGTTCTATCTACATTAAACATTACAACTTTTAAACTCTCTCTATGTTCAGACATTAAACAAAATTAACAGGAAAATGAAGTGGGAAATATATATATACATATATATATTTAGTGTGTGTATATATATACTAAAATACAACACTCGTGGCTCATATCTTCCATATATACAGCCCTCGTCTATAATCCAATGAGAACACACTAACACCTCAAGACAGCAGGGCCTGCAATTGCATCTAAAAACTGTTTAAGAGATTTACTGTTTTGAATTGAAATAATTATAACATTTTTCACATCAATACATCTTTGAAAATTGTGAAGACAGAAGATCAAATGCCATTTGCGTTTCACCCCTTTAGCTTGTGCGTGTGTGTGTGCCTTTTATTTTTTTAGCAGCATTTCATGTTTTATTTATTTTTACTCTTATTTTTTCAGAGATGGGGTCTTATTCCATTGCCCAGGCTAGAGTGCAGTAGTGTCGTCATAGCTCACTGGAGCCTTGACTTCCTGGGACCAAGCGATCCTCTTGCCTCAGCCTGCCGAGTAGCTGGGATTACAGGCATGTGCCACCACACTCAGCTAATCTTTTGTATTTCTTGTAGAGTTGGAGTCTCTCTGTGTTGCCCAGGCTGGTCTCCAACTCCTGACCTCAAGCATATCCTCCTGCCTTGGCCTCCTAAAATGCCGGGATTATAGGCATGAGTCTCTGTTCCTGTCCTGTCTTTTATGTATGTATGTATGTATGTATGTATGTATTTATTTATTTTTGAGATTGAGTCTCTCTCTGTTGCCCAGGCTAGAGTGCCATGGCGTGATTTCAGCTCACTTCAACCTCTGCCTCCCAGGTTCAAGCGATTCTCCTGCCTCAGCCTCCTGAGTAGCTGGGATTATAGGCACATGCCACCACATCCAGCTAATCTTTGTATTTTTAGTAGAGACGGGGTTTCACCATGTTGTTTAGGCTGGTCTCGAACTCTTGACCTCAGGTGATCCACCCGCCTCAGCCTTCCAAAGTGCTGGGATTATAGGAGTGAGCCACTGTGCCGAGTCATGTCCTATCTTTTAAATACCCATTTTGTGGGGATTTTCCTTGAGTCCTTTGTAATTTGGACACATCATTTTAAAGATGGATGTCCCTTACTGGGAGTAACATCAAACATTGCAGGACGACATGCAGCTGTGAGGATCTGCCCGAGAGAGGAGGTGTTAGTGTCCACTCCATGGCCTCCTGTCCTCTCTGCCTGTGACTAGGGAGCTCTCATTTCCCCATCAGGCCTCTGAACAGTCTGTACTTTAAAACTGGCTCTATATTACTGTTGGATTATTCCACACTGGAATTCCACTGGTGATGCTAATATCATGGGGTCAGTGGTGACTTTTAAAGATAAGCCGGAACTTGGGATAACAGGTTATTTTGTGTGAGGAATTTTGCAGTTTAAAATGCACAGGTGACAATGTGATACTTTCCATGCTTTCTCGAATAGATTTGTAAGCCTTATGGACAATCCTATTGATAATGCCCAGTGTGAAGATGGCGATGAAATAATGGAAAGTGAACGGGATCGCCAACATTTTGATAAAGAAGTTATGAAAGCCTATATTGAAGACCTTAAAGAAAGAGGTGGGTTACTCATATTTAAAATTACTTAAAATGAGTGTACAGACTTCCACTTGTGTAACACATTTGTTAATAGAAGTCAAATTGACAAAAAGTCAATTTGTCAATTTTTCATGGTTCAACCTAGATATGGTCCGGCATGTGCTCTGAATTTTAAAAAATTTGCTCGTTTTCTTTTCTTTATCATGGTGTCTTCCCTGTTTTCCTTCTTTCCCCATCAGACCAATGTCTGAGTGAAAAAATAGTAGATTTAATCTGCCCATAAGGGCCTACAACCTTGTGCGATTCCAGAAGGATGAGGATGTGAAGCCCTCACTGGTCCTCAAGCTTTAGTGAACATAGGAATGAGAATTTTTACTCATCAGGCCTGGGGCAGGGCCTGACAAAGTACACTTCTGACCAGCTCCCTGGTGATGTTGATGCCTTGTGTCTGAGAAGCACACTTTGAGAGCCATTGGTATAGACCATCCTTTGACAAAATTTGGCTGTGAAGGGAGACAGAAGAGGGATCAGCAACTAGTGAGAAGAGCAAGGCTGAGAGAAGGCTTACTTTGAAAGATCATGTATGGTTTAGGAACAGCCCAAACTTCTCTTATAAATGGTACCCTCTGCCACCTACTAGCCACAGTCCCAAGTCCGTGACCATCTATTTCTATTTTGTCAACTATTAATACTATAGGGTCATACAGCTTCCAAGATCTTGATGTAGCTGTAAGTTGGCTGGAAAGATTGCAAAAGAATGAGAGTTAACGATTCTTAGATCTAAACATTTCTAAAGTTTGACTGCACATTTGTGATGGCTGACTTAATGGTGACAGATGCATTATTTATCACCTATAGAGTATCTCTATACTTAAAACATGAAGTGACAATAATGGGTGTATTAACATAGGCCATAGCATGTAGTTAAATTTCATAATAAAATGATGAATGACTGAGCATATTTTTTTCTTTCTGTTACAGAATCTGTTCCCAGCTATACCACCAAAGTGTCTTTTAGCCTTCAACTTTGATATCTATCAGAAGACTGCAAATCTCACTATTCTCTGGAGCTATATATAAATCTTTGTTATGATCATGTCATATAGGAAGAGTGGCTTGTGCTTAAGGACAAAGCCTAGAAACCACTGTCATAGTTGCTAAGAAAAATGGTTTTCAAATATCAAATATATGAATATCTCCCTCCATGGATTGGTGAATTGAAAAATTGGTTTATATATTGATATTTCCGGGTTCATTTGCATATACTTGTTTCCAAATAATGCACATTTAATATGTTTTAAAATGTCTTATTTTTAAGGATTATAACTAAAAGACCAAATACGGAAATTAAGTGCATTGTTTTCAGGAATCAAAAGATAAAGGGGCCGAGCATGGTGGCTCACACCTGTAATCCCAGCACTTTGGGAGGCTGAAGTGGGTGGATCACCTGAGGTCAGGAGTTTGAGACTAGTTTGGCCAACATGGCAAAACCCCATTTCTACTAAAAATACAAAAAATTAACTGGGCGTGGTGGCAGGTGCCTGTAATCCTAGCTACTCAGGAGGCTGAGGCAGGAGAATCACTTGAACCCGGGAGGCAGAGGTTGCAGTGAGCTGAGATTGTGCCACTGCACTCCAGCCTGGGTGACAGAGCCAGACTCCATCTCAAAAAAAAAAAAAAAAAAAAAAAAAAAAGATAAGGGATTGTGAAAAGAACATTTATATTGGACTAATCAAATGAGAGTATTTTGTTATTTTGAAAGTTTCATTATTTCTTTTACTGAGAATAATCTTCCTTAAGTTTATATAAACTGCTATTTCCATATGTTTTAAGTTATATTTTGGCAAGTGTAGGCTCCCAGGAGAGACTTGTAGGTACAATCAAGGTCTTGAAGGAGGAAAGAAAGGCTGGAATATCTGCCCATGCATTGGGCACGAGATGCTCAGGTGGTGCGTGGGTAGCTCTAGCTGAGGAAGTGTGGGCCTGGCTGTTCATGGGAAGTCTTCAGTGGCCTTCATGGATGGCCATCCTGCCCTGAGTGGCCACCTTGGGGGTCCTGGGACACACCTTGGTAAAGAGCAAAGGCAATGCCCTCGGGGTCCCTTCCTCCAAGATGGCCATGTAGAGTAACGGTGATGACCAGTCCACACTGATAAGGAGTTCCTAGCAAGGCTTCCTTGTGGGTACCACAGGACAACTCTGCCCATAGCAAAGATGCTTCAGTCCAGAGGGAGCCCATGGGCTTTTTGAATTTCGGAGAGGTGGGATTCATTACAGGACTTTGGGCTCTTATGTCACATCACATGATTTGGAGAAATTTACACAATCTCTTATTTTTATACCACTGTCTTGGGCTAAAATAAACAGGTTGTGGCTGACGGTGTTGAAGATAAATAAGCTTAAACATGTAACTTTGACCGGGCACAGTGGCTCACACCTGTAATCCCAGCACTATGGGAGGCCAAGGCAAGCAGGTTGTTTGAGCCCAGGAGTTTGAGAACAGCTTGGGCATCATGGCAAAACCCCATTTCCACAAAAAAATTAGCCAGGTGTGGTGGCATGTGCCTGTGGTCCCAGCTACTCAGGAGGCTGAGGTGGGAAAGTCGCCTGAGCCTGGGAGGTCGAGGCTGCAGTGAGCTGTGATTGTGTCAGTGCCCTCCAGCCTGGGTGACAGAGTGAGACCCTGTCTGAAAAGCAAATCAAACAGCAATAACAGTGTTATTATTGTTATAACTAAAAAAACCAAGCAGCTTTTGTGACTAAGAAGGAAAATATGTATATAGTGGCATATTTTTATATGAATCGTCTCCTCTGTGGTCCTGCCCAGTACCATCCAGTGGAGCTTTCTGCAGTGACGGAAATGCTCTGTATTTGCGTTGTCCAAGGTGGTAAACCAGACACATGTGATTCTTGAGCATTTGAACAATGACTGATGTGATTGAAGAACTCATCTTTCAATTCAATTCAATTTAAATAGCCACATTGTTCCATCAGGTCAAACCCAAGGCTGGAGTCACACCAGCCTTGGGTTTGACCTGATGGGGAATTCCCATGATAGAATGCTCCAAACCGTTCCAAGGCGGGGCCAGTTGCGATTCTAAAGGAAGAAGCACAGAATCGCAGGGTGATCAGTCCAAAGCATTTATGAGGGGAGCTTACACACAGCGTGGGTTGCAGCGTCCTTGGGATGGGCAGTGAGACAAGGGATGTTCTACCTGGGCATGTCCCCGGTGAGGGGGTCAGGTGATGGAGTTCACATGAGGATGTAAGGAATTTGGGTGAGGGCTGGGCTGGCTTCCACATGTTTAGCAACATGGTTGATCTTTCAGTGTTTCCAGCAACAACCTAAACACCTTTATTAGTGCCTAGGAATGTTCAAGGCCCAGGCTGGGGTTCAGACCTGCAGAGGAAAACATCAGCTGGCTGGGTCAAGGCACTGTGTGTTTCTTGGTCAGGACAGAGACAAAAATGGGGAAAACGAGGGGACCCCACACACATGTGGCTACCATACTCCAGAACAGGTCTAGCCAGTTTTTTGTTTTTTGGAAGTTAATCTGGGGTAGAAATGTAGGGTGATTTTTATTTTCTCTGTCTGAAGAACCAGCCGTTTTTAAAAGGGTTATTATTGACATCCCCATATTTTGTCTTGATGGGCTTACTCATAAGTCCAAACATTTTATTCTCAACAGGTGTAAAACAGGCAGAGCGTTCTAAAACCGCATGGTAGTGCTTTGGTGGAGGACTGCTTCGACTTAGAAACAAACTCTGAGAAGTAGGTTAAGAGATGAAAACAGGGTCAGGCACGGTGACTCACGCCTGTAATCCTAGCACTTTGGGAGGCCGAGATGGGCGAATCACGAGGTCAGGAGTTCGAGACCAGTCTGAACAACATGGTGAAACACTGTCTCTATTAAAAATACAAAAAATTAGCCGGGTGTGCTGACAGGCGCCTGTAATCCCAGCTACTCGGGAGGCTGAGGCAGGAGAATCGCTTGAACCCAGGAGGTAGAGGTTGCAGTGAGCCAAGATCCTACCATTGCACTCTAGCCTGGGCAACAGAGTGAGACTCCATTTCAAAAAAAAAAAAAAAAAGAGAGATGAAAACAGTAGGAAAATGAGAAATCACCTTTATTGAATCTTAAACAGTTACATTTTTTCTTTTTAACAATAAAAATACAATTCAAATTTATTAGCTGTACTACTTGAATGATTTTTATTTCATGCTAAGGTATGTGTTACATATAGGCAAGTGGAAAATATATCTGAAGAGGGCTTTCACACAAATAGACTGTTCATAATTTATGTAAATTTTATTTTAATAAAACCAGTTTTTGTGTAAAAACCTTGTTTCACTGTCACATATGAAAAAAATACTGCATTGAGATATAATTATTTAATGTTACATAATAACCCAAAACAAATATATTACTTGAATATGTTTGTAGAGATACTATTTAATTTATTCACATAAATGTGCAGAAAGATTCCAAAGGAGAATATGTATCTTAGTGGAAATATAGAGATTTGAAAATTTGACATGATGCAAATAGACTGATACATAATTTGGAAAGATTATTTACATGGCAGAATACATGTATGAATATTAAAGTAATATGAGTGAAAGAATAAAATATTCTTAAAAGAAAAATGTCCTGGTTCTAAAAGCTTTTTATTAAACCTATTTTTTATATGTTGGAAGTGTAGGGGGGAAAAGATTTTTTTTCCTCATCTGTTGCTAGGTTCATGGCTGAGACTCCTATAACAAAAGATGGATTAAGAAGTGAAAATAACATATGAATATATTTAACATAAGTTTTATGTGATATGGGAGCCTTCAGAAATGAAGACTCAAAGAAACAGGTAAATTTGTGTGTGTTTTTTTTTTGGGACAGAGTCTCGCTCTGTTACCCAGACTGGAGTGCAGTGGTATAATCTCAGCTCACTGTAACCTCCACCTCTCGGCTGAAGAGATTCTTCCACCTCTGCCTCCCCGAGTAGCTGGGATTACAGGTGTGTGCCGCCACGCCTGGCTAAGTTTTGTATTTTTGGTAGAGATGGGGTTTCGCCATATTGGCCAGGCTGGTCTTGAACTCCTGACCTCAAGTGATCCTCCCTCTTTGGCCTCCCAAATTGCTGGAATTACAGGCGTGAGCCACTGTGCCTGGACAACTAGTGCATTTTTTGATACTAAGTTTGATGATGAAGTGCATAGTTGTGGAAAAATATGATTGGAGGACAACAAGGTGTGATCTAATAGAAATACGCTGGGGGAAATTTACCAAGGCCTGTCAGTTCAGATTCTTCTTGGCGTCCCCATGTCTTTGAGGATAAGGATGTTCCTATACTTCAGATACAGGCAGGGTACCTCTGGAAGGGGGGTCTTATGACCAACTGCAGGGAGGAGGGTCAGATAATTCTGTTATGGCCTACTTCAGGGGTGAAGGCTGAGATGAAATTCAGAGATACCTTCCTGCTTCTGCAGTTTTCTCAGATGCCAAGGCACCATATTCTGGGATAGAATGTAATGACGCCCATCAGAAATGAAGGGGCAAAGGCACTTAGGTGAAATCCTTGAGTAGTGTATTGTAATTAATAGCAGGACTCACATCTGGTTTCTTGACTGTAGCTTTAATTTTATTTCCACCAGAATCTCTTTTAAATTTCTTGATGGTTCTAGCCACCCTCCCCACCCGCATGTTTTCTTGTTTGGGGTGTAATGGATCACAGAGCTAGTAAGCTATAAAGTAGTGAATTAAATCCTTACTACCATGTTCCTCCCAATTTGAGTTATGGAAGAATCCAATAGTCTTTTTTGTACAGAAAGAGACAGAAGTTCATTTTAATTTTAGTAACTGGATGTGGTAGGAGATGGTTCCTTCTCACTTTCTCACTTTTCTGTAGAAAGACCCAGCAAGCTTCTCAACTCTCCTTCTGGCTTAGAGATGCCTCCTTCCGAAGGCTTGGCTGGTGTTTATCTGGGTCATTAGAGCAGATATTCACAAAATGGTCAGTTTTTAAACTTTAAAAGAAAAAGGTTGAGGAAGTGGATATCCAATCCTACTACTTACTGAGGTGTATATTCTAATTGGCTCAGAATGGATTATGTTTTCACCCAAAGACCGTTCTGTATTTGAGCCAAGGTTTAGTGCTTTATCATTATACTGAGGGTACTAATCCTTTTTAAAACTAGGATTTGGTTTTGATACATAGATGACTTCCATTTCTTACTCCAGCTTTGACCTTTAATATTGGCACCTGTTTCTGGTTTCTCCTCTTTGGGGCAGCTTCACTTGGGAATCCCATTGACATCTAAAACAAGTGTATTACAGGTGTGTTTATTTT